TTCCGGTACTTCTCAACAGCTTCTTCGTACGCCATCACGTCAGCATCACTTGAAGATTCGGTCGGTTCACGGGGAAGAGTGGGCTGTTTCCCCTTGCCACGGTTGAGGAGGACGTCCTTGAGGTCAAGGCCCTGCACGTCACGGCTCAGGAGGTGCTTGTCAACTCCGTAGCTCCACGCCTTGAAGTTGGAGCTAGAGCCATCGGCTTCAAGGCGGAGCGGGGTGATGGGGTTCGCCATGGTGGAAGACGAGAAAGCCATGGTGGAGACCCCTTAACTACTCGCGCGGAGCGTCGCTCTTAAGTCACCAATAGGAACTTGAGGTTTGGGGTTTCCAAAGGAGATTTTGAAGAACCGGAGGTTTAGGGTTTACGAAAGAGAATATTGAGGTTTAGGGTTTCTGAAGGAGAATTTGACTGAGACGCCAATTTAGTGTCAACTACCTACTAATCCTATTCCCACACACCCCCCCACACACCACCCTCAGCTTCGCGGCTACGCTGCTGCTCGGCTTCGCGGCTACACGGCTGCTCGGCTTCGCGGCTACGCTGCTGCACGGCTGCGTTGCTGCACCTGTTCAGCTGCGGGAAAGAGGGGGGATGGGGGTAGGAGTGCAGATGCGGGGCGACGGGCGGCAGCCCGAAGATGACGCTGCGGGGCGACGGGCGGCGGCCCGACGAGGAGAAGAAGTGACGAGTTGATGAAAACGAGTGTTAGGTTAGAGCGCCGACGATGCGTTTACCAGAGAAGTTTCCGTCGATGGTGACGGGAAGATGTGGCGGGAGAAATTCCGCCGATGAATGTCGCGAATCAACGGCGACGAGATTGGCGATGGCTTCCCCGAGGTTTGCGGGACAAGTATCCGCAGAGATGAGAGGATCATGATCCGCGTATGCGGTTGAGCTGCTCTGATACCATGTCAGAACTTGAGCTTAGAATCGATACTATAGTAGTGAGCTCAAAGCTCTTTAAGTACTTCCGGAATGAGCAAGGTAGGGATGAGGAGGGAATCAGGAGGCAATCCTAGGGAATCAAGGGTAATCCCAAGGCAATCTCCAATTGGTGGGTTGGAGATTGCTTGGAGATTACATTTGGGTTTGGTTGGGATGTGGGTGTACACCCAACCAAACACAAAGTGCAAACTACACTAAACTAGGATATAAAAGTACAAGTACAAAATGTGAGATTGGGGCCTAACACCAACACATGATGCTTTTAGGGCGCTCCATCCCTGCCTGCGGGAGTACACCTTCTACGCAGCGGCGGTACAGGAGAGCACCAGGATTGACAGGATTCTTCTTTCGCAGGCGTTGCTTCACCAAGTCCATGAGGTGCGGCATGTGGGCTTGGTCAAGCGGTTCACGGACCATTGGTCCGCGGTGCACCTGCAGCTCAGCGCCGGGGGGGACGGGGAATCCGGTCTAGGGCTCTGGAGGCTTCCGGCGTCGCCGGCTCCACGCCCTGGCATACAGAGACGGGTGGAGCAGATAGTAAGGAGGAATGCAGAGAGAGGAGGAGGTCTGGAGTCATTAACAGCCTCACTAACAGTAGGTCTTAAGGCCTATACCGTAGAGGAGCGGAAGCGTGTGGCAGCCACAACGGCGCACCTCGAGCGGGAAGTTGGGGAGCTGAGGCAGCGTGTGATGAGCAAGCCTCGGTGCTTGCGGGCGAAGGCGCGGTTGGCGAAGTGCGAAGCCAAACTCAAAGTGTACCTGGACGGGAGGCGCCGTAAGCTGCAGGAGCAGGCGGGAATTAAAGTAGAGATGAATGGTGAGGCCCCCACGGGCTTTTTCTCGGCCAAGATTAAAGCGCGGAAAGCGAGGACGCGGCTGGTGGAGGTGAATTACCAGGGTGCCCGGCACGAGGGGGCTAAGGAGTCACTTAAGGCAGCGTCGGAGTTTTACAAGAGACTGTTTGCGGCTGGCGCGGATGCGCATCTGGACTGGTCGGTGGACAGGAGCTTCTCACAGGATGATGCAGAGGCGCTCAGTGCGCCGTGGCAGGAAGCGGAGGTCAAGCGTGCTCCGGCAGAGATGGCGCCGGGCAAAACTCCAGGGAGAGACGGTGTTCCGAAGGAGCTCTGGGAATCACAGTGGGACCTGCTGGGGGGGCAGATGATGCAGTTCCTGAAAGAGTTTGAGCGGACAGGGTCGCTCTCGAGCGAATTTTCAACGGTGGTGACGATGCTTCTTCACAAGAAGGGCGCAAAAGACGACCTCCAAAACTACCGCCCAATCACTCTTCTGAGCACAGTGTACAAGCTTATTGCGAAGGTGTTGGCGAATCGGGTGAAAGGCAAGCTGGAGCGAGTGGTATCAGCTGGGCAGTTTGGTTTCTTGCCTGGTAGGAGCATCGCTGGAGCAGTATCGGCTGCGGCAGATGTGATTGACGCCGCTAATGCCGGGCAGGAGGACTGGCTCATGCTCCTGGTAGACTTCCGCAAGGCCTTCGACTCCGTGGCGCGTGGATATATGTTCGACGTGCTGCGGAAAATGGGCTTCCCGGAGGCTTACGTGACGTGGGTGGAGGGTCTACACAAAGGTGCAGCGACACGCATTTGTAACGATGGGTGGCTGGGAGAGGAGGTCCCGGTTCAGACTGGTGTGAGGCAGGGCTGTTCGCTCGCGCCATACTTGTTCCTCCGCGCGGTGGAGCCCTTCTGCCAAGAAGCAAGGAGGTGTTTAGGCATTAATAAGAAAGGCGCTGGGAAGCTAACCTACCTGGGGTATGCCGACGACACCACCCTGCTGCTGAGGGACCGCTCGCAGCTTGGAGAAGCCGAGATTCTGCTCAAAGACTTCGAGCTCAGGTCAGGACTGGTGGTCAACTGGGACAAGTCGGTGGTGCTGCCGCTGGGGAGGCAGCGGGACGAACCGCCGCCTGCGACCGGGGCCTTCAAGTGGGCGTTGAGAGATGAGCCAGAGCGCCTGCTGGGGGTCTGGATCACGCCGGGAGGAGAAGCAAAGCCGTCATGGAAGAAGGCGCTAAACAGAATGGAAGCGGAGCTGAAAAAATGGGAAGCGAAGTTTCTCACCACCACGGCGAGGGTGATGGTAGTTAATGCGTACGTCATGCCCATCGCGCTGTTCCAGGCGTAGATCTACCCGGCGCCGGACACGATCTGGGAGGAGCTGAAGAGGCTGTGCCACGCCTTCGATTCTGGAGGAAGGGCGAGCTCGGAACCGGGCTTCATTCTCTGGAATGGAGACCTCATGCAGCTCAGAAGGGAGGAGGGGGGCCTGGGAGTAATCTATCTCTAAGACCGGCTTGACGCGGAGGCACTCCATTCGCTGGCGGTGCTGCTCACGGAGGAGATGCCGCAGCGGAGGCTGCTGGCAGAGCAAGCGGCGAACTTCCCGCTGGGTTACGCCTCCTTCCTTGCGCATGAGGCACTGCTTAAGGCATGGGGTACGGGGAGTGAGAGGTGGAAAGCGATTACAGTCGCAGCAATGTCGTCGCCGGTCATCAGGAACCTGGAAGCCGGAAACAGATGGGATGTCGAGAAGGAGCGAGTGCTATTTAATAGGCGCATCCTGCGAGACGGGAGCTACCCTTTCGGGAGACGGAAGGGCAACGAAGGACTACACGAAATTACGGTGGGGGACCTGCTATTAAAATGGGCGGATGGCACAAGGAGCTGGAAATCACCGGAGCGTCTGACGCGGGACCTGGGCAGCAAGCAAGCGGCAGAGGTGGCCGCGGACATAGTGGAGGCGCTGAGTGAGGACTGGAAAGAGCGGGTCCTGAAGCTGCTCACAGTGGAGGAAATTGCGATTGCTACGAAGGTCGTGAGGACGACGGGGAGAGGAGTGCAGTTGTGGTGGATTCATAAAACCTCGGGCAGTCTGCTCCACTGCATGAGGATGCGCCAGCGCGAAGATGGGAAGACTTGGCTTGTGCTGGAAGGGGCGAGAGTTAAAGCGCTATCCGTGTCGGAGGTCACGCCGATGGCAGCAGTAGGGGACGAGGTAGTTGGGGAGCTGGGCGAGCCGCGCGTAAGGCTTCCAAGTTCAGAACTCTGCCTGGATAGGCTTGCAGCCCCGCTAAAGCAACTGAGAGAGGGCTTGGGGGTGAGACACAAACAGCCAGACAAGCTCCCTCGCCGAGCAGAGTGGGAGCGATTGTGGGGGAGGAAGGTCTACTGGAAGCGGGTGATTGCGCGCAGGGACTCGCATGTAGTTCCTGCAAGGGCGCGGGACGTCCTGCTGCGTGCCCACTGCTTCAATCTTCAAGTGGGGGACCGACTGAAGTTTTCGGGGGAGCGGGCAAGATGTCCGCACTGCGGGGAGGCGGAGTCAGTGGATCACGCACTGTTCTCCTGCCGCGTCATTTGAGGCGCCTCAAAAGTCCGCACTGCGGGGAGGCGGAGTCAGTGGATCACGCACTGTTCTCCTGCCGCGTCATGTCATCCAACCTGTGGTGGGGGCCCTGACAGATGCGATTCGCTGGTTCAATCCAGCTCGGAGGGCGAGGACACTTGGCGATCTGTTATTCCAACGAGGGGGGACAGCTTCCGGTTTCCCGGAGCTGACGGTGTCGGCAATCACATTCCAGCAGATTTGGGTGGAACGATGCAACGCGGTCTTCAGGGGGCGAAAGTTCCAGTGCCAGAAAGTGATGAGGAGGATCGTGACAGCTTTCTGTCTTCATGCACGGACGTATGAGGGCATCAAGCGAAGGAAGGCGTGGATCAAAAAGAGACGCGTGGCTAAGCAGCTTCTGGACAAAGATGAGGTTGCAGCGCTGGAAAACGTCAGCACGAAGATGGCCAGCAGGCTTACGTGGCGCGATGAGTTCCTTTCCATCTGGACGGACCGAAGGGCCAGATTCAAGCCGCCGTAGATGCTCTTGAGGGGCGGCTCCCTCACTGTGTGTTATTGCCCCCCTCCTTGCAACAGTTACGACTGTGGCCCTTTTGCTGTATCCCTGATATAGTGAAAAGCCTTCTATTTAAAAAAAAAAACTGTTCGTCACCCCCATCACCCCTCATCACCACGCCAGGTGGAGGTGTTCGCCAGTCAGCTGCCTGACGTGTCCTTTGCAAGGCTGCTTGACAGGTGAGACCTGAGTCGTGTGTGACTGTATTGAGATGTGACTCTGCAAAGGAATCATCTCCTCCTTTCTATCCCACTCCATGCTTCACGTTTTCACATTTCACATCAGTCACCACTGAACAGCTGCCACCACACACACACACACACACGTTGCGCAGTTTCACTTAGCCTCCTTTCCTGCCCTTCCAACTGCCTGCCTGCTGTGTGCCCCGTGCTTCAGATTCGTGGAGACATCGAAGCTAGACGGCACCTACTTTCTCTGCCGCACTGACAACATCCGGGTAACCATTGCTTTTGCAGTATGGCATTCTGCTACACATTGCTTCCTTTCCATGCCATTCTTTCTTCCATGACTTCGCCTCCCCTTCCCTCCCCCACCGAATGGCACCGACTTCAACTCAAGAAGGCTTAAAGCCCGATTCCATGCTATCCCCGATCCCGCTCTCATTTCCCCCGACCCCCTCTTTTTACTCCCCAGCGTGTGGCAACCATGCTGGACAAGATCAAGGGTCTGACCCTCCGCGATCGCTTTGCCTTCTGCTCAGCACCAGCCAATGCCAGAGACCCCACCGTGATGGCCGCCCTCCTGAGATTCGCCCACCAGTATGCCGAGGGCAAGCCCGTGCCGCTTTTATCGGGTGGACGGGGCGAGGAGGAGAAATTGGGGGACGAGGAGAGGAGTGGAGGATGGGAGGGGGGCAAGGGGAGGCCGGGGGGAGATTCGGCGGGCCAATGGGTGCGCGGCACGTGGCAGAGAACTGCTGCTTCGGATCTCATGGCATTGGAGACAAAGCACCAGGTGCGTGCCATCTCATAGGACTGCTCGCGTGGTTGTTGCTTCGGATGTGAGGCGCTTCTGACCTCACCCTTCCCATCTCACACGTACTCTCAGCTCGCCTTGTCTTGCCCCATTTCCCTCCCAACTTCCCACTCTTCCCACCCCCTTCCATCCCTACCCACCCCTTTCCACCCCAACTCACGCCCTTCCACTCTCCCGTCAGGTGGCATCGCTCTATCTCTGGCTGTCCTATCAGTTTCCCAAAGGCGCCTTCCCGGACGCTTCCCTCGCGACAGACAAGGCTCAGAACGCGGCCAAGCAGCTCTCCACGGCTCTCCTCGAGGCTCGGACGCCGAACCTGAGCAGCAGCTTCGGCAAGCCAGGCTCGGTCAGGGACAGGTACGGGCCCGGGCTGACGGACGTCCAGCAGCAACAGCTTTGGTACATTGAGCAGCAAAAGAGGCGGAGGGAAGAGGAGAGGAGGAGGAAGCGGGCAGAGGGGGTGGGAGAGGGAGGAAGGAAGGGAGAAGGAGAGGAGGAAGAAGAAGGGGGGGTGGATGACGAGATGAGGCAGCTGATTGCGAGTGCGAGGCTGAAGAGGAGTGCTGGCAGGAGGAAATTGAGTGCCGGGGTGTCTCAGAGGTAGCAAGCTGGTACTTATCAGAGGTAGTGTTCTGAGGTTGGGTGGGCTGTAGAAGGGACTCTCAACTACGAAGGCAAGGCAACCACGAAGGGTCTGTCTAGGATCAGTGCGAGGCTGAAGTGGAGTGCAGAGAGGAGGAAGGTGCACGTCTGCAACTTGTACTCCTGTTTTAAATGTAGTGCTGCTGAGGACGGGACTCACCACAGCAAACCAAACGAGTAAGCGAGCCTGTGGAATGCATGTGCATGTACAGTAGGTGGCGTCAAGAGGCTGTAAGCCTTTGAGGTACAACTGTTCCTGTTCTAATGACAAGTGTAGTGCGCTCTGAACATGGCTGTGGTTACCACGCTTGTCTTCTGCCAGATTGACTAGCCATTGGCCCACCGAATGATTCTCAGAACTCATTCTCAGAGAGGATGCATCCTCACATGAATGAATGCAATTAATGGTGGGATGAACATGCAAGGTGCATGCGAGTTGTTATACCACATTAGCATGGGCCTGCTTGGCCACTTTAATAAACACGTCCTCTAAGGTAGAGTTGGTTAGTCCCCATGCCTGTATGGGCATGGTCCCCTTGGCTGCTTGCACTGCTGCAAAAACGTCAGATATCCTCACCTGCAGCAGAGGGGCAGGATTCATGCCCGGGGTTCAGGAAGGGGGGAAGGTTATGGATAGTGGTACGGGAATGGTCTGGGAAAGGAAAGGCAAGCAGATGGCTAGAATGAACTAGCAAGGGAGAGCACTCACTGGGAACCAAACTCACGTAGCAATGTTTTTCTCCTGCAGGATCAAAGTTTGAACGACCCAGAACACCCAAGCAAGGAACCGAACCCACGGTAGCAAAGACTTAATGCTACGTATGCAGCAACGTACTGTGATGCATGCAGGCCCACCCACCCATGCCCACTCACATCTTCCACGGGCAGCTCAAACTTTTGGGTGCCCGATAGGTTGTATATTCTCCTAGCGTTGACAGACAGGGACAGTGCCAGCCGTGCAGCTGCAGCTTCATAGTCCACGGGAGTGGTGAGGGTGAAGATGAAGCGACCCCCGTACCGTGCTGTGAGCTCCTGTGCACTTCCTATACAAACGAACTCCCCCCGCACGAATATGCCCATCCGGTCACACAGTGCGTCTGCTTCCTCCATTGAGTGAGCTGAGAGGGTTGGGGGGGAGATCGGACGGAGGAGAAGTGGGGCACGGGGAAGGGGGGAAGTGAAAGAGAATGATGAGGGGAAGGGCAGGGAGACAGCAGCAGCAGCGGCGTCATGGTCCACTTTAGTGGTGTGAAGGGACAAGCTAGCACACACACTCACTCGTGAGCACAATGGCGCAATTCTTCTTTGCCTTCTTCACCACGTTCCACGGATGCATCCTGGATGATGGGTCTAGCAGCCCTGTGCTGGGCTCGTCCATGTACGAGGCTCTCCCACCCACCCAGAATCCCACAAGCTAGCACAACCCCACTCACTTGTAAGCACAATGGCACACTGTTTCTTCGCTCGCTTCACCACGTTCCACAGATGCATCTGGGACGATGGGTCTAGCAGCCCCGTGCTGGGCTCATGCATGTATACACACACCCCCGCCCACCATGCCACAAGCTAGCACAACCCCACTCACTCGTGAGCACTATTGCACGATTATTCTTAGCCCGCTTCACCATGTTCCACAGGTGCATTCTCGACGAGGGGTCCAGCCCCGTGCTGGGCTCTCGTCCATGTAGACCACAAGAGGGAAGCACCTGCTTCCATCCACAGGCCCACCCAACAGCTTCCCTTTGACAACCACTCACTTGTCAAGACAGTAGTGCAGTGTCTCTTAGCCCGCTTCACCACGTTCCACAGGTGCATCCTGGATGAGGGGTCCAGCCCCGTGCTGGGCTCGTGCATGTACACAACAACCCCACGCAACCCCCCATGTAAGACCTACCCAATACCCTGCATTGACAACCACTCACTCGTGAGCACGATCGCACAGTGTTTTTTCGCCCGCTTCACCACGTTCCACAGGTGCATTCTCGACGAGGGGCCCAGCCCCGTGCTGGGCTCGTCCATGTACCAGAGTCCAACACCCCCCCCCCCCCCCCTCCCCCCCTCTCCCTCCCCACATTCAGAGACGCTAGCCTGTCTCACACACACTCACTCGTGAGCACGATTGCACAGTGCTTCTTTGCCCGCTTCACCACGTTCCACAGGTGCATCCTGGACGAGGGGTCGAGCCCCGTGCTGGGCTCGTCCATGTACACCACAAGAGGGTCTCCGATAAGCGATATAGCAACCGACAGGCGCCGCTTCATGCCGCCGCTGTACTGCTGCACTGGCTTGTCGGCCTCTTTCAGGAGGTGGACCCCTGATAAGGAGGCCTCCACGGCTGATGTTAGTGCTGAGCCTCGCAGGTTCTTCAGCCGCCCGTAGAACATGAGGTGCTCCCGACCGGTCAGCTGCTCCCATAGAAGGCTGGTAGGAGGGGGAGAGAGAGGAAGGAAGAGGAATGGGGGAGGGGTAAGAGGGCCTCCAGTAAGAGATGTTAAAAATGACTGACCGCCGCTGCTTCATGCAGCCACTGTACTGCTGCACTGGCTTGTCTGCCTCTCTCAGTTGGTGCCCTCCTGATAAGGATGCCTCTACGGCTGCTGAGAGTGATGCAAATTCTTGAGCCGCCCGTAGAAGAGAAGGTGGTCTCGACCGGTCAGCTGCTCCCATAGGAGGCTGGAAGAGGGGGGAGAGGATAGGAACGAGGGAGGGGTGAGGGGGAAGGAAAGGGGAGAAAAGGGATGAACTTATGGGGCAGTGTAGGGAGGAAAGGAGATGTGATTGAACGACTGAGACAGGAAAAGGGATAGGGAATGGAGAGAGAGAAACTCAGGACGCGGTTAAAGTGGAGAATCGATCGCCTCAGGATCGTTTTTTAGCACGGTTATAAACGGTTGTGTATCTTTCGTATGCAAAACGCGGGGTTTCAGTGCGATGACCGGATCGATCTCCCCCCAGCCGAGCACTTTTACCGCGTCCTCAGTCTTGCTGGAGGGCAAACAAGCATTAGGCCCCAGCACGCCCACGCACTCCCTTCAAACCACACCAACGCCCCTCCAAACCACGCTCAACCACCCTAGACTCACTCGTGCGGCGGGCAAACACCCATGATGGAGTAGGTCCCATCCCCATGCCCTCTAAGGTTCGTCCACACGCACATCCAACCACACCAGGCTAACCCCACATCACTCTCAACCCTTCCGAACCACACTCACGACAGTCAAACAAGGCTCACTCGTGCTGCGGGCACACGCCCATGGTGGAGTAAATCCAGTCCATCTCCTCCGCAATCCCCATGCCTTTGATAGCCGCCGTGTCCCCACTGGGCTGCAGGAACCCCATCATCATCCGCAGTGCCGTCGTCTTGCCCGCCCCATTCGCCCCCAGAGTGCCCAAGCACGCCCTTCAAACCACACCAAAGCCGCACCAAACCACTCTCAACCGCACTAAACTCACTCGTGCTGCGGGCACACGCCCATGATCGAATAGATGCTGTCCATCTCCTCGGCAATCCCCATGCCCTCGATAATCGCCGTCCCCCCACTGGGCTGCAAAAACCCCATCATCATGCGCAGCGCTGTTGTCTTGCCCGCCCCGTTCGGCCCTAGCACGCCCAGGCACTCCCCTCGCGCCACCCCCAGCCACATGCCGGCTACTGCCTCCTTGGGCGCCCCGCCGTCCCTGCTGGGGTAGACCTTGGAGAGGCCGGCACAGAGAATGCTGTGGTGTGCTGAGGGGTCGGGTGTGGTGCCGGTGTGCAGGAGATGCTGCACTTTGCGCTTCTGCGGGGGGGGGATGGACAAGGGGCAGAGGGAGGGTGGTGGGAGGAGAGAGGAGAGATGGTTGAGTCCCAAGCACTCCTCCCACGCCCCGTTCGGCCCCAGCATGCCACTCCCCTCGAGCGACTCACCTCATCACTCACCTCACCGCAGCACTCACCTCACCGCAGCACTCACCTCACCGCAGCACTCACCTCACCGCAGCACTCACCTCACCGCAGCACTCACCTCACCACAGCACTCACCTCATAAGTCCTCTACTCACACACCTCACCCCATCAGCGCTCACCTCTAGATCCACATCAAATCGGTCCAAACACCCTTTCGCCTTCTCCTTTTCTTCCCCCACGTCTGTCCCATGCCCCGCGCCCACAACACCTCCTCCCACCTCCCCTTCCCCCCACTCCGCCTTCCCACTCTCCGCCGCCCCTGCTTTCCACTCCTTTCCTTCTTCATTTCTCCAGGAACCTTCCTGGAAGGCCGCATGCACCCGGGCGTCCCCTCCAAGCCTGCAGCTTTGCAGCACCTTCTTAAGCGAGCCAAGAAGCTTCCGGCAGCCGCTCTTGCACCCGCGGAGGAAGAAGAGAGGATGCTTCCTCACCCCACTACCCGCCGAAACCACCTGATCCAGGTAGATCGCGAGCAGCAGGAACACCAGCCATTCGACGGCCTGGATCGCGACAGCTGTCAGGTAGCCATTGGTGGCGGCGGTGGCCCAGGTGAGTGTGCCCTGAGAGGCCTGGTAGGAGCCTATTAAAGACGACTGAGTTAACTCGTATACCCCGTGGTAGAGTGCGAACGCTGGGAAGAGTTGCAGTGCAGTCATGAATGTGGCTGGTGGGAGGGAGAGAGGGGGGAGTAGGAAGGAAGAAGGAGGAAGGAGGAAGGAGGAAGGAGTGAGTCCAAGGATTGTAGACCCCGTTGTTGAGCATGACCGCTGGGAAGAGCTGTAGAGCAGTCATGAATGTGGCTGGGGGAGGGAAGGAAGGAGGTGGGGCGGAAGAAGAGAGGGAGAGAGGAAAGGGAAATGAGAGGGATAGAGTAAACTCGTATACCCCGTGGTTGAGCATGACCGCTGGGAAGAGCTGTAGAGCAGTCATGAATGTGGCTGGGGTGAGGGGTGAGGGGGAGAGGAGAAGGGAGGGGAGAAGGAAGGAAGGAAGAGGAGGAAAAGGGAGTAAATCAGGCTCATAAACGCTGTGATAGAGGGCGAACGCTGTGATAGAGGGCGAACGCTGGGAAGAGGCGAAGACATAGAACAATAGAAGGCCCATGTTCTCTGGCGTTGCTCACTTGAGTCAGAGCACGACTCATTTTTTCTAGCCGACAAAAAATTCGTGTCACCACCAGAGAAGGGCCCTGTACTCACCTCATCCCTGGCCATGGGATGGCGATACTCACTGGAGTAAGAGCCGGACTCGAGCAGATTGCGATAGAGGAACTGGCCGAGCAGTGCAGAGGTGAAGACGTAGAGGTAGGTGGCGGCGGTGGGGGGGTGCGTGTGGCAAGGCGCCAAAGAAAAGGAAGGAATTCCACGATACTCACTAGAGTAGGAGCCGGACTCAAGCAGATTGCGGTAGAGGAACTGGCCGAGCAGTGCAGAGGTGAAGACGTAGAGGTAGGTGGCGGCGGTGGGGGGGTGCGTGTGGCAAGGCGCCAAAGAAAAGGAAGGAATTCCGCGATACTCACTAGAGTAGGAGCCGGACTCAAGCAGATTGCGGTAGAGGAACTGGCCGAGGAGCGCTGATGTGAAGACGTAGAGGTAGGTGGTGGCGGTGGCGGGGCGCGTGTGGGCGAAGGCTGTAGAGAGCAGCATGGCGAGTGCGATCTGTGTGTTGGCGCTCACGATGTAGAGGAGGAGCTGTAGGCCGTAGGGGTTCAGGGTGAAGCACTTCAGCTCTGCGGGAGAAGGTGGGAGGGTGGGTGAATGGGGAAGGGATGAGTATAAGATTTGTGTGTTGGCTGGCACGATGTAGAGGAGAAATTGTAGTCCGTATGGGTTGAGCGTGAAGGATTCGAGCTCTGTGATGAAGTGATGAAGTGGTTTGAGCTCTGGGGAAAGGTAGAGGGACGTCCAAGGTGGAGAGATTGTATTTTTTTTTAGTCGACTAAAAAATAAGCTCTGTGCTGAAGTGATGAAGTGGTTTGAGCTCTGGGGAAAGGTAGAGGGACGTCCAAGGTGGAGAGATTGTATTTTTGAGTTGACTCAAAAACAAGCTCTGTGCTGAAGTGATGAAGTGGTTTGAGCTGTGTGCTGAAGTGAGGGGGGAAAGGTAGAGGGTGGAGCGATTGTCTGGGTGTTGCCCCTCTACCCTCCCACTGTCCCCACGCCAAGCACCAGAACTAGATGTTCATTCCGCACAACAGGAGCACCGACAGCAGATCATGGGAACTTACCAAAAAAACGTACGGATAAGCGACTCAAAATCCACCTACAAAGACCTTCCCATGACGTACGGATAAGCGAGCCAAAGGCGACAAGGAAGAAGATATAGGCGAGGGAGAGCAGGAGGAAGTGAAGAGTGTTGGCATGCAGTGCACGGGGTGAGTACGAGGGGGGAGAGGGGGAGAGGGGGAACGTACGGATGAGCGAGCCGAAGGCGACAAGGAAGAAGATATAGGCGAGGGAGAGCAGGAGGAAGTAGAGGTACGAGACGAGCCAGTACGGCCCGTCCTTGAGCCCATGCATGCGCATCATTATCCTCAGCTGCTGCTCCTTCTCGTACACCAGTGCCACGGTCATCACTGGCAGGAGCAGCTGCAGCACCCACATGTAAAAGAGAGGGCCGAGGAGCGATACAAAGTCCACGCCCAACGTGGTTTCCACTTTTGGAAAGTCTTTGACAAATAGCAAAGGAATCTCTGCCGGTGCTACTGCTGGTGTTGGTGCTGTTGCTGGTGCAGAAGCAGTGTTTAGTTCATCCCCGCCATGGAAGGACTTGATAAACGCGTTTGAGGCGAGGTTAAGGAGGCGAGCGAAGCGGAGGAGCGTGGCGGGGGTGCCGCCGATACTGGCGTTGTTGTACGACGAGTTATACTGAATCACAGGGTTATAACGAGTCGGGCCCGTGTCCTGGAAGTCAAAGGCTGCTGTGTACGCGTTAGTGGCTTGCTCAGGATTCGCCTGATAGTGGCCTGCATACACTTCTGAGTCGATATCCGTTTGCGTGTCCCGCCACACCGTGTCTACATCTACGCACTCCACTCCTGTTACAATGAGCAGATATGACGAGAAAGAGATGGTGGGGGGAAAGGAGTGGAGGGGAGGGGATGGGACGAGTTGGGAGGGGTTGGGAGGGGAGGGTGAATCGCGGGTGAGGGGTAGAAGAGGGAGCAACTTGGAGAATTCGCAGAAGTCATAAACACTACCCAGCAGGATACCACAACACTACCCACAAAACGCCGTAAACATCACTTACGGACGGGGAGCGTGATAGCATCCGCGACCGTCGCGTTGACAGTGAAGCCGCGCATGTTCCCGCGGCACTGCTAATGAATGCCTCTCATCACTTACGCACGGAAGGGTGGCAACATCAGTATGGGCACATCACTTACGGACGGGGAGCGTGATAGCATCGGCAAGCGTCGCGTTGACCGTGAAGCCGCGCATATTCCCGCGGCACTGCGGCAGCAGCAGCAGCAGCGACGAGTTGGCCTGCCACCCCACGGGCGACACCGCCTCCTCCAGCAACAGGCTCCATCCGGGGTAGGTTGCCGTTCCAGGTGTTACCTGGGACAGGTCGTATACGTACGACGGGACCCAGTACCCGGCTGTCGTGTTGCGCTGCTGTTTCTGTTTGTTGTAGCTGCGTGTTTTCCGCTCCCGAATTAATCTCCGGAATCCCGGTTCCTGGCCGTTCTGTTTCTCCTTGTGTGAATCGCTAAACCAGCTGCTGCTGGTGACGCTGCTACGGCTGCTCCTGCTGTTGCCCCTGATTATGCTGATCTGTTGCAGATTTCGTGCGCCTGTTCTTTTCTGCCTCTTTGGCATCCGCGATACTGCGTTCTCCACTCCCGCTATTGTAACCATTTCGTTCAGGCGTTTTCGCACGTCGTGCTTCGCCACCTGCCTCCTTCCCCTCCCCCTTCCCCTGTTCCCCTGCCCCTTTCCCCCAACGGCTTCCGCCATCCCCGCAACAGACCCGCTTCCCCCCGTGGGTTGCGCCCCTCCCAGCCCCGGCGCGGAGAGAGTCTCCGCCAATCCTCCAGATTGTCCGCGAAGCAGCGGCTTTGTTCCGCCCACGGGGACGGACAGAGGCGGAGCGGAGACCGAGGTGGTTGGCGGAAGAGGGTTAGCGTGAGATGTGGCGACAGTTACGGTATCATTCGTGGAGAGGAAAGTGCTTGGATGTTTCCGGACAGACCTAAGTGACGTGTAGAGCACGTCAGGTACGAGAAGTGACGCCATTGCTGACGTGGATTGCGGGATGGAATATGGGGCGGGAAGGGAGCAGGGGGGAAGGGGGCGGGTTGGAAAATGAACTGGGAATTGCGAGGGAAGAAGATAGCGGTGTAAAGAACACTACAGACTATACAAAACTCAGGGGCTAAGAAAACATAAAAGAGACGAACTCAGGGGGTACTCGGAGGAAGTTACCCTCAGCAGCGGTTCGATTTTGTCCCGTGTATAGAATCACCGTAGGACAGCTCTGGCCACCCTCAGACCGACACGTGGCTGGCGGAAGCCCCAACGAAGCGCCCACCCCGGGCGGAGCGGCTGCTCTGGCCGCATTCGGCGGCACCTGCGCAAACGCCGGCCACATGGGCGGCGCGGGGACGGCGCAGAAGGGCATCTGCGACGCGGTGGAGTACTCCGGGCCGCAGGTGATTTTCTCAGGTGGGCAGGTGGAATCAGGTAGCCTGAATTCCTTGGGACAGCCGCATCCGCATTTGTAGGTTGACATCATAACGTTATCAAGTAGGATTTGGAGGGCTTGTAGAACGATGCATAGGAGGGCGGGGAGGCTGACGATGCATGCATTCGTGCCCCAGTTGCGGCGCTGGTATGCGACGTTCTTGCGAAACAAGGCGTCCGCTTGCGTGACGAACGACGTGCGAAACCTACGACGTCGCCGCTCCGCGGACGGGGGCGAGAGCGACTGGTCGCACGGCTCGTCGCACGAGGTAACAGAACGATCGTTCCCGACGTCATTGCTCTCAGATGAAGTGGTTCTAGATCCTCTATGTCTGGGCCCATCCGCGCCGAAAGGGGACTCCGGAGGGGTTGTGGAGGCGGAGGAAGTAAACTGGGAGGTTGGGGGACTGATCGAAGGGTCGCTATAAGCGACCTCGCTAACCGATTTGCTATTTCCGCTCGAAAACGCTGGACTGAGGTTTGGACAATCCATTCGACGAGTCACCGTTTCGACATGCAGCTGAGATTTCTGCGGATATACAAGGTGACTAAATTTCTCAAACCGTTACTTCAAAGAACAACCAACAACGAGGTAGATTCTGGCCTGATTTTGCGCTACAGAGAAGGATGGTAGCTGGATGTAAGTCGTCTAAAATTTCGTTATGGTGAAATGAGAGGTAGGAGTGGAGCTATCGGAAAGCTGAGTAGCAACACGATGAGGGCGCTGCAACGGGACGGACAAGACTGGCTTGTAAGCTCCGGAAGTGACGTGCTTGTTGATTGTGTTTGAGTGGCTTGTGTGCCGATGGGGAGAGAATGAAAGAAAGGGCAGGGCAGCAATGGTGCCATTTCTTGATGGGAGAAACGGCCTTTCTCCGTCGTCTCTATCTCTCTTCTCTCCCCCTCCAGCGGATTTCAAATTTGCGCAATTCGTCAATGTAGCTGGCGTCAATTGTGGAGCTTGGCGGATCGCAAGATGCGGCCCGGAATTTTTTAGAAATGCGGCTTGGCTCTGCCACAGATTCTACTCCCCGCAATTGGCGGTAGGTCGAACCTCGCCCAGTTCGCCCTTCCGCTCTCGAGGTTTTGGCGAGGGGGGAAGATGTGATGTGATTCTTTCAAAATTTCCAGTGTGGTCATGCACAAATTTCTTGATGCACGTTCGGCCTGTCGTTTCGCTGCGCTTGGAATTCACGCTAGTGGGAGGGCAGAAGGCCGGGCAGCAACGCAACATGAATTTCTGAAGTAGCTGTCCCCAGAAGCCGCCAAAATTTTATGTTAAGCCGTAGGAATCGTCCACGTTCTAGTTTAGTTCAGAACAGGCTGACCGCAAACGATGCGACTAGGAAAAAAATGTCGGTGCAACGGTTTTCCAATTGTGCAAGTGATGCTATACACTCTACGCAATAGAGCAGACATCTATCATAAACACGGTTGCCAGACATAGCTAGATCACTAATCATTTATTGCCTAACTTGGAAGCTTGGCTACAATAGCACGACGATAAACAAAGCAGGGTATCGCAAGCTACCTCATGATGCATCAGCTGCTGATATTTCCTTGGTGTCACATGCCACTAGGCATCCTCTGTACACAACACAGCCACAGAGAAAACCCCGTTCACGTTTCAACCTAGCCTTCAACTCATCACAGCAATTGCCCTCCTCTCCTCCCTTACTCTCTTCATAGGCTTCTCAAACAGCACATTCAGCAACCAAGGCCCATGATCACCACTTCCCCCTCCACTACCCCCCACTCCACTCCCTCCCCCACCTCCACTCCCCCCACCAGCCACCACCTTCGCCCACTTCAGCTTCTTCCACTGCGCCACCTCAGCAACGGCCAGGATCTTCCGGATCAACGGCCGGGAAAAAGGCACCATTTCCAGCCACAGCAGCCCCCCAGGGCGAAGCACTCGGTCCCAGTCATACAAAACAGACTCCAATGCCGGCGGGTGTGCGAGCATTGCCGGCCAAAACGCACAGTGAATCAAATCTAACGACAAGTCCGACAAAGGCAAGCGGGCGGTGGGAGGGAGGTGAAGGGCTGCGAGGGCTCTGTGTGCTAGCACTTCCATTACAGGGGCACCGTGGTTGGACGCAGTGGTAACCACCGTAACGCCCCGGTCTGCCATGAGTGCAGCGAAATTCCCGGTGCCCCCTCCGATGTCGACCCCCACTCGAATACCTCCTGGTGGTTTCACTGCCAACACCGCATCCATCCCCCACGCGCCTGCTGCTGCTGCCCCTGCTGCTCCTGTTGCCCCTGCTGCTGCCCCTGCTGCTGCTTCTCCTGCTGCTGCTGCTGCTGCTGCCCCTTCCGGCACTGTCTGCGTATACAGCCCTGAACCCTCCGCAAAACCACTGTAGCCCCCGTATGCTCCACGAGCTCCTCTCTCCCTGGCCTTGGACAGGTTAAAGCACGACACCAAACACCCGCGCACAGCAGCAGGCAACCCCAACCGTCCAATCTCCAAACCCTCCGCCTCCCCGCCTTCCACCCCACCCAACATCCCCTCCCCTGCCAAATCCCCCCTGGTCACGCCTGCACCATCGCCACCACTACCCCCGCCATCGTCACCATCACCGCCACCACCAACGCCACCGGCATCCCCATCTCCGCGCCAGGCGCGCTCGGCCTGCTCCTCCTGCTCCATGAGGCACTCCCAGTCGCGGCACGGGCCGTACGGTTCCCACGCTATGCTCCTCGCGTCGGGAATTGTCCACCTCGCCGCTTCCCGCAACGGCGGCTCGGCAGATCCACCGGCTGCGGTGGCAACCGTGGCGTCCCCCGAAACCATGTCCGCGGCGGTAGTTGCGGCGATGGAGGGCGAGAGAGGAGAGGAATCGGAGAAGCATGCGCGGCGGGGGAGGTCGAGGCATCGCGCGTCGAAGAGCAAAGCCTCGTCTAGTCTAGAGCTCGGCGGCAGCTCCCACTGTTCACGTGCTAGCCCTGACTGGCCTGACTGGCCTGACTGGCCTGACTGCTCTGAGCGCTGCTTCTGTTGCTGTTCCTGAATTTCTCCCTGAAGTTGCTGCCGCGGCGGCTGCGCCATACCATTCTCAAATGCGCGGGAGCCGCCACTAGCTTCGCTGGTAACCGAAACTGTTACGGGCGGGCACGTGCTGCCAGGGGTGTAGTTGTAATAGGCGGACATCTGCGCGGGACTGGCGGCGCAGTGCTGCCACGCGGACCACGCGCGGCCGCGGTACGCGTTATTAAGCTGTTTCTTTAGGTCAAAACTCTCCGCTCTACAGTGAAACAACTGTTTTCGCAAAAACTCGAGGTCGTCAACGAAAACGTCGCACCCGCGATGGTCCTGTTCGTGAACGTACACCAGCAGCAGCATCAACAGCAGCAGCAGCACCAAATCCACCGCGCTAAGTGAAAAGCTTAGAATCCCTCCCCGCCCGCTCTTAGCGCCGGCACCGTGACCACCGCTTGCCCAGGGGTTTCGCCTGCGCTTATTAAAGCGCGTCGCATACCAAGCTGACGTAGGCGTGCCATATTTCCATCTCGACAGCACCTCCGGGTCGGCAGGGCTATCATCGTCGTCTTCTAATGTGTCGTCCACCACTAGAGGCTTTTCCCGACCCGTATCTCTCCCCGCGCCTCCCGCCGCGCCTCCCGCCGCACCTCCTGCCGTCCTATCTCCGCCTGCGGAGGAACTTGCTGGCGGTCGCCCCCACTCCCGCTCTTTATTCCAATCGCGGCCCATGTCTCTCCCAACCTCTCGCGTCCACTCCGCTGCTCGGCTCTTCCCATGGTGCGAACGAGATGAATCCTCTCTATCCGAATCCTTTTCGTCCTTTTCTCCGCTTCTTACGCTGAGTTCTATGGCGCCGGACGCTGTGACTCTCCCTCCGCCGCCACCGCCGCCGCCGGATGCGGCGGCGGCGGTCCCGGCACCGCCTGCTCCCCCGGCTGCCCTGCTGTGGTCGAGGTCGTCCTCTGCGTTCGCAAACTGCTGCACGAAAGTGGCGCCAAAAGTCTGCGAAGTTTCGCGGTTTCGCAGCATTGCTTCGGTCTGGGCTGGTCCGCCTACGGCTACGCTGCTTCACGATGGCAGATAAAAACTTCGAGTCGCAAAGGGAGGAAATAAGCAGGAAAAGAGTACAATTCTACTTCCAGCCGTCGATTTAGAGAGAGAGAGAGAAAAAAAAAAAAACAGAACTACCTGTATAACCACTCTAATACCTAACTAAAAAACGACTTAAAGACAAAAATATATGAAGGCCCCACTCCTATACCTGCGTAGCTCAAATCGGCTGAAGAGCATACGTTAGAGCTAGGGAGTGCTTAGTGCAAGCATCAATAAGCAACCAGCTGTCAATGCCACACCATGAAACCAAGGCGACAATAGGAGAGGACAATTATCACCGTGGGATGGGCAGAAACGTCTGGCAGGGAAAGAGGCATCAGCGAGGTGCAATGAATGGATAGATAGGGCAACGTCTGAGATATGCGTGTGCAAGACGAAAGAAAACTCAGAGAGGGGGGGGAGGGAATAGGGGGAAAGGGGAAGGAGAGAGGGAAAGGGGGGGATATGTCGAGCGTGGTGATGATGGATGTAGGGTAAGGAAAGGGAAGGGAGAGGGGAGAAAAGGGGAAAGAGAGGAAAGAAGGGGAAAAGTGGATATGGGGCGGGAAGTAACCTCGAAGAACACCGCTGCTGCAGCACAAACCGGGCAACAGAACGTTTGGAAAAGTACGCACGGGAGTCCCTGATTGGATTTCGCCACTGCGGGTAGCTGAAAATATTTTCAAGGACGGGACTGGGGGAGTTCTGGCGGGAGATGTTTCCAGGGCTTCGGATTACAACCAATTGACAACCAGCTGGCGCCAATTCCCAAGATGGCGGCTGACTAGCACGCGCACTTCCTTGCTGGCGCGCGGGGTTTGGCGGTTTGTTGGCGTGAGAACGTGGAAGGGGAACTC